TTTGAAAGGGATAATATTTTCAAAGATGACCAGACGACTGTGGGAACTGTGGTTTTCCGCTCTAGCTAGTAGACTTAGCCTCAAATCCGGGAGATTTTGAGGGCAGAAAGAGAAAGGACTAAGAAAACCAACGACATCTTAACTTGGTCAGGGGATTTACTCGTGTCTGCATTAAATGCGTTAAATCTGTATTTGCGGGGTGGGAAAAGGCATTGTTCCCGTATTCAGGGTTTGAAATCGAAACCTCCTGATCCCCATCCCGCCATGATCAGTTCCATTCAATTTCCCATGGAGCAAATTGCAAACTCCTCTATTGTCACCCTTCCACAGATACACACTTATTAAATGTAAGGAAATGTCAGAATAATAATTTCCCTATAATGTTCTGAAATTAGGGCATTTGCATGGTTTAGACAAGACTGCAGAGCTGTAATTTACGGATGACTTTCCATTGGATTGTTATACTTCTGGTTTAGAGAAAGTTATGTCTTGCAAAGTCACCCGTTCCACACATTAAGAGAGCTGCCTAATCCTTAATTGGTTTTACACTTCAACGTGAGGCACTACACGCAAATATTTCTCTCAAAGGGTTAGGTAAACTGTATTTCAAATTGCAGAACACAACTTGCCTTTCCTAAAAGAAAACCTGGCACTTAATAATCCTCCAAACTCAGCAGAAAAATTACTTGTGCAGATAAAACCTCTCTCCTCATTCCCAGCGATAATTTCTCATGACATTTTCCCTTGGAAAACAATTCAGACCTGGGACTATTTTCACAGAGTTCGGCAGTCTGGTCTCTTTTGAATTTCAAATTTCAAAGCGTTTTAGGAAATCTTAATACATTTCGGGGTTTGAATGGTTTCAACTGTGATGCTTAGGACAGGGCAGGGCCAGAAACATGGTGAAGTTGTCATTTTTAGCTAACTTTCTTTTGTTGCTAGTGTTTCTTGCAGTACAGGCGGGTTTATATGCTTCTGGACTTAGAGGTATTTTTCTTTTCCATAGTTCTTGAACCGCTGTACATTGTTTTGTGTGGGATATGGTCCAGAAGCCACATTCAAAAATGTGGAAAATACATAGTAGCAAATCTTTTCACTCTAGGCAATGAAAAATTACAATCCAGGAAGATATCCAGGATCCTAAAATATAAGCCAAATGGGTGTCCGTGCGTGCTTGTTTATTAGCCAGTAAATTCAAATGGCACAGTGTTGTTGAATACTGAGTAATCAGGAGCTGTTTTTGTCTAGTATAATTCCTGTCTACAAGCAAAGGATTTTCCTTGGAAAAGGACCCATATATAAATGAAGACCAAACTTTTAAGGGTTTTTCATGCCTTGCCTCAAACTATAAAATTTTATGGCATATAGTATAATATAATACATGCCTATCATATACAACTTTCTGATATTCCTATTGATGAAAATGTGTCAACTAGAGTACTATAAAATCTCCAGCTGTTTATAGGGAAACGATTTTCAAATGTGCAGTTGGATATGCTCTTTTAAAGCCTTTCTCATTTTTTTAATACGAAATATATGCAGATGTGTTTGTTTAGTGCTGATAGGAAGGATCGACAGACACAAAGGCATCAGACTCTATTTCATTTCCACAAGGGTTGACTTTAAATATTAAATGTTTTTAAGCTCTTTGGGATGAACCTACCTTAGATACTACCATTTCTTTAAAGTTAAAGACAAATAAATTAAAAATAGGAATCAGCCAGCAATATGCAGACCTTGCAGAGGTACACAACAACGTTACCCTCCTAAAACCCTGCGCCTTTCTCCCATTCTTGCTCACAGTAGCCAAACCAGCCTAAACCACAACATTTGAATGGCATAGCACTAGCAAAATAAAACAAAGCCCATCTCTCACATCAAACCACTCCATTCTTTTGCAAACCCGACTTTATTACACATAAAGGAAAACAATGCAATCTGCTGAATCAATGTTATTCCAAACCTGTGCAGAGAAAGAGATATCCACAGCTGGTTTGGAGAGATAGATAGATAGATAGATAGATAGATAGATAGATAGATAGATAGATAGATAGATAGATAGATAAATAGATAATTAATAGGCAATTCTCAAAATCCCACCCTAGCCCCTGACTAGTCTGTTTATACCCCCTGAGATCACTCGCCAAAGTAACAGCTCTGAGGATAAGGATCAGGCCTTAATGTTAGCCAGAGAAAGATAGAGTTCCTTTCACCCTTTCATTCAAGTCCTGGAAATTCAAAGACTGAAGTTAAATCCGGCCATAAAGTTTATTGCTGAGTAATCACACTCTAGTGAGAACAGTCCACTTAAATAAAAAGAATGTTGAAGTAAACACGCAGCTGGGGCCTACCCCACAATGACAGCCAGCAATATAAGGCAGAAAGGAAGAGAGCAGAGCTAGGGGGATATTTACAATCTTCAATAAACCAAGCCCGTATTTCATAATTTGCAGCACTCTAATGACCTGTAGTCTCTTGTATTAATGCTACAAGTTACAGTCAATTGGTTCTCTTTAAAAAAAAAAAAAAAAAGTCATAGGAACATATATATGTGTACACACGTACACACCCTTTGTGTACACGAATACACCAATATTAGACACATATATGCATCTGCACGGCTTTACACAGACCTACAAACTGATTTGTACATGCAGGCACACATGCATATAATATAAATATATTCATATTTACTCAATTATATGTAGAATCAGGAAAAAGTTATAGCAACGTTATGAACGCGCATCCCCAAAACACACCACGCGCATGCAGATGTACATATACACATAGCTAAAGCTTTCTGCACAGCCCAGTGCAGAAAATACGTATCTAAGCACTCCAGTACAGTCCGTGCCATTTTAATACTGGCTCTCTGATATGCAACATATTTCACCAATCCAAAGATTATTACCATATCATCACGCCTCCAACCCTATCATGCCTACATAAGATACTGCCCAGATAATATCAAGCCCAATCTATTTTGTTTCCCCCTTTTTTAATCGCCTGCAGTAACTACTCTTTGCTAAACAAAACCTCTCCAAACTTGGAGAGTCTATTGGAGCAAAGGAAGTAATTATCTTCTGCGGTAGTCAAAGTGATTAAAGCTAGGCCCCAAAATCCATCTCTGCCAAAGTCGCTTATTGTGGTTTACTTTGATTTGATCGCTAAAATAGAGAGCTAGCTGCTGCGAGTGAAGGGATGGGGGGGAGGTATTTGCAGCGCAACCTGGATCATTAGTGCTTGATCCTGCCTCTCGGGCTCGGTGGGACCGTCCTGAAAACCTCCAGGCGGATAGGAAGGGAAAGAGAAAGAGAAAGAAAGAGAGAGGCGAGAGGCAGCGAGAGCGAGCAGGAGCCTCGGCTTCCCCACTGTACAAATAAACTTTAAGGAACTTGTGCACAAAACTTACCTTTGACTTGCAAGGAGCCATTTTTCACATAGTACTGAGAACTTGTGGTTTGGATACTTCTGTCCCTAAACCTGACAATTTGAATGGCCAGGAGGCACACGTAGCCTGCAAAAGAGTCAAATGAAGTCCAGCGTCAGTGAGATTATATGTTATGTGGTATATAATGTTGGATGTCAACTCCCCAAAACCATAAAACTTACTTTAATGGCACCACGTGACTTTTTATAGCCAGTGAGCCTATCTGTCTGTGCTATGGATGATTTTACGATCTAATTCATAGACAAAACCCTATTCATTTGGCACCCAAATGTCATATAGCCGGAACTGGGGCTTATAAAGTTTACTGTTTTATAACTTTTAAGGGAAGGCATCAATGTAACCAGTCAGTAAATGTGCAAATCTTTAGTTGCTCTTAGAAGCTCAGAAGAGTTAACCATTCAAGCTCTGATGGGGTAAGTAACATTACGTTTATAGCAAACTAATTGTAGCGAAGAAAACCAAAAGTTTAAAGGGTGAAGAGTGGGAATGTGGCTAGAGAGGGTTACTAATAGATGCAAAGGGCTTGGACATGGCTGTCCTAAAATATACTTAATGAAACCACAGGAGAAATTCTAGAGCGATGCAAACACACCCTGGAGTTCTCAGCGTATTTGAAAAAAGCACATGTTTTGGGGTTTGGGTTGTGGGCTGTTTTTTGGGTTGTTTTTTTTTTTTTTTTTGGCGTCTTTTTTTTTCCCCCCTTAATTTTAACCATCAGCAGACAATTAACAGTTGATTCAGCCACAAAGGGTGTAGACTGTGGTCCTGCGATGCAGCTTTCCACCTAGCGAGAAACAAGTAAGGAAGAACTTATGGTCAAACTTTCAATTAAAAATACTGGTAGCGGATAATTGCAGCATCCACCATATGTAACGTGCAGCAGGAGCCAGGTAAAATGTAACAAACTCTGCACGGGCTATTTTTTTTTTTTTTTTTCTTTTTCAGAGGCAAATCAGGAAGCACAACTTCTTGCTTTGCACAAATCAGATCACAAAAACTTTACAATAGAAAGTTTATTTTTTTGTTGATTTCCAGTCAGGTTTTTTTTTTTAAAAACAAATAATAATAATAATAATAAAAAAAAAGCTGATCACAGTTTGCTCAAACAGCCAGACTTTGACTATATTTGTAACTTTGTTCACAAAAAACATACATCACAGAAGCTGCGCTTAATAAGAGCCACTTCTAAGAGTTCGTGCAAAGAGTCATATACAAAGGCACAGCAAGGACATACTGCTTGGAATCACAGTTTTCGTCACAGATTCACTATTCACTACACGTAGGACAAGTTCAGTTGATTTCATCATTTCACCTCTACAACAGCATTAATTACACAGGAATTATATAGGTAGTTTGAATAAAAATATTTTTAACAGCTTGGAGCTATACAGACATTAACACTTGACCACACATGCACAGTTAAGCAGGTTGAGTGCAACACATAACATTTGTACTAAACCGGGGGAGGGTTTCCTTTCTCTCTCTCCTTTCTTTTTTTTTTAATTTCTTTTTTTTTTCTTTTTGTTCTTTTTTGTTTAGTTTTGTTTTG